GCTGCTAACCTGTAGAAATTTTTAAAGCGTCACATTTCGGTGCACCACTAGTTAAAACCCGTCTGTTTTGTTTTTGTCTTGTTCAAGAGATTTTTCCCTCACTTCCTGTCCAGGAAACTCAACAGGAAGAGAGAGTAAATCCCTCTTAGATAGTTGTCACAAGGACGCATGTGCCTGTTGCAAGATTTCCTTGCTATTCTTGTTCTGGTGGCAACTCAAAATTTTCCTTCACTTGCAGTCCAAGTGATAAAGGTCACTGCACAAGAGTAAGAGCCTGTTTCCACAATGCCTGCACACAAACACGCTCTACCTTCCTGTGAAATTAACACCACCTTCAAAATGCACTCCATTTGTGATCTGCAGTGGGTGTCAATAATAAGTTAATGACACGCCAAGTGCAGGTCAAAAACTACTTTCAGAAACACACTGCTACCGGATCGCACGGTACTTTTGTACCATGCAATCCAGTGCATTTCTAAAAGTAGTGCATGCACTACTTTTGGTACAGTTTGATTTTAGCCCATTCAAAATGAATAGGCTGGAAGCGCACCACAGAGAACCGCACCACAGAGAACCGCATGTGAACCACACAGGACCGCACAGCACATTCATCTGCGATTCCTGTCCAGGCATGGTGTGAACCGTCCTAAATTTCTCCCTAGCAGTGACACAGATAGCAATATAAAATATAGCAGGGGTTCTAATCCCTCACAGTAAGAAGAATGCCCATGGGACTTTTTAGGAGTCACATCATAAAATAAACCATATTATATAAAAAAGTTACATCTTTTTATTCACATTCCATATTAAAATTTAAGAAGCAGAATACAAAGTATATATAACCAAGCATTAAAAAGGTATACATTGGTGTATGTTGCCAAATGAAGACACACAATTTTCACAACAGCAAAAATACATAAAGATGAACAGCCACTAGTATAAATCTAGTGACGTGTTTTGTGAAATAATGTTCACTTCTTCAGGATAAAATAGACACTTTGCTACAATTTATTTATTTCAGGTACTTATATAGCGCCGTCAATTTACGCAGCCCTTTACACATATATATTGTACATTCACATCAGTCCCTAACCCTCAAGGGGTGTACAAATTTAAGGTCCCTAACTTACATTCATACATACACATATGTAAAGTAGTGAGTGTACAGCTTGCATAACAGTGTAAATTTGCTGTCCCCTCAAAATAACTCAAACACACAGCCATTAATGTCTAAACTGCTGGCAACAAAAGTGAGTGCACCCCTAAGTGACAATGTCCAAATTGGGCCCAATTAGCCATTTTCCCTCCCCGGTGTTATGTGACTCGTTACAAGGTCTCAGGTGTTAATGGGGAGCAGGTGTGTTAAATTTGGTGTTATCGCTCTCACTCTGGTCACTGGAACTTCAACATGGCACCTCATGGCAAAGAACTCTCTGAGGATCTGAAAACAAATTGTTACTCTACGTAAAGATGGTCTAGGCTATAAGAAGATTGCCAAGACCCTGAAAACTGAGCTGCAGCATGGTGGCCGAGTCCATATAGCAGTTTAACAGGACAGGATCCACTCAGAACAGGCCTTGCCATGGTCGACCAAAGAAGTTGAGTGCACGTGCTCAGCATCATATCCAGAGGTTGTCTTTGGGAACTAGACGTATGAGTGCTGCCAGCATTGCTGCAGAGATTGAAGGGGTGGGGGTCAGCCTGTCAGTGCTCAGACCATACGCCGCATGCTGCATCAAATTGGTCTGCATAGCTGTTGTCCCAGAAGGAAGCCTCTTCTAAAGATGATGCACAAGAAAGCTTGCAAACAGTTTGCTGAAGACAAGCAGACTAAGGACATGGATTACTGGAACCATGTCCTGTGGTCTGATGAGACCAAGATCAACTTATTTGGTTAAGATGGTGTCAAGCATGTATGGCGGCAACCAGGTGCGGAATACAAAGACAAGTGTGTCTTGCCTACAGTCAAGCATGGTGGTGGGAGTGTCATGGTCTGGGGTTGCATGAGTGCTGCCGGCACTGGGGAGCTACAGTTCATTGAGGGAACCATGAATGCCAACATGTACTGTGACATACTGAAGCACAGCATGATCCCCTCCCTTCAGAGACTGGGCCGCAGGGCAGTATTCCAACATAATGACCCCAAACACACCTCCAAGATGATCACTGCCTTGCTAAAGAAGCTGAGGGTAAAGGTGATGGACTGGCCAAGCATGTCTTCAGACCTAAACCCTATTGAGCATCTGTGGGGCATCCTCGAATGAAAGGTGGAGGAGCGCAAGGTGTCTAACATTCACCAGCTCCGTGATGTTGTCATGGAGGAATGGAAGAGGACTCCAGTGGCAACCTGTGAAGCTCTGGTGAACTCTATGCCCAAGAGGGTTAAGGCAGCGCTGGAAAAAATATGGTGGCCAAACAAAATATTGACACTTTGGGCCTAATTTGGACATTTTCACTTAGGGGTGTACTCACTTTTGTTGCCAGCGGTTTAGACATTAATGTCTGTGTGTTCTTTTCTTAAGTGTTATTTCTTATATTTTTTTAAGTGTTATTTTGAGGGGACAGCAAATTTACACTGTTATACAAGATGTACACTCACTACTTTACATTGTAGCAAAGTGTCATTTCTTCAGAGCTGTCACATGCAAACATAGAATAAAATATTTACAAAAATGTGAGGGGTGTACTCACTTTCTGTGAGATACTGTACACCAATCAACAAATCTCTGGTGGAACAAGAACCATCCCTCACCATATAGCAGGCACCATGGAAAGGCACCACTGGAACGGTCTTGCCTGGGAGCTGTGGATGGAGTGGGCTGCCAAAAACAAAAGCATACAAAGAGAGTGAACGAAGCAAGCCCAGTATGGTATAATAATGAAAGGCTAAAAACTGCTAATAGACCATATGGAAAGATTAACACTCGCAAGTTGACCAAGCCACCATGAAAGAAATGTGTACATCTTGGTGTAGGTCTTTATCAACTTGGAATCTTTTATCTCCTGAAGAAGTGAACATTGTTTCATGAAACACATCAAGTGATTTATATCAGTATCTGTTCATTTTTATGCGTCTTTGCTGCTGCTTCATATGGCAACATACACCAATGTATACATTTTTGATGCTTGGTTATATATAGTTTGTATTCTGCTTCTTAAATTGTAAGATGAAATGTGAATAAAAAGATGTAAAATGTTTTTCTATAATATGGTTTAATTTTATGGTGTGACTCCTAAAAGGTCCCACAGGCAATCTTCTTACTTTAAGAAATGGTTTCAGGGACTGAGTTCTGCCTACACCTGTGTCGTCATTATAATCTATTGGGTTCTAATATCTCTCCGCTCTATCCAAATCACCAGCAAGGGTTATTGCAGGCCATCCAGTTAAAGCAATCTTGAACTTTATTTTTAATAATATACTGCTTTAGGAACACCACATTATGCTTGCTTTACCATTATTACATATTAAAGCTCATCTCATTTTCCAGCTGGGGGATGTTCAGCATCACCTAGTAAATATCAAAATGCCTTGATGTGTGGATGTCAATCTGGAGAAGTGGGAGCATTCCTACGTAGGCTGTATCTGCTTGAAGATCAACATAGGCAACATGTACATATGATGTTGAGCCTCCATGATTGAAAGAACTGAAATCCAATGATTGAAAGGGGCGGGCCAAGTGATGCTGGATGTCCTTCAGCCAGAAAATGAGATGGGCTCTATTAGACTTGCTGCAGCTTTCACAGTTGGCCAATGAAAAAGAAAAGAATCATTTCAGTTTGGGTAAGGACTAGTGGTGCACTGAAATGAAAATTCTGGCGTCGAAACCGAAAACAAAAATTCAGGATGTGCTTGGCTGAAAACCAAAACATCTGTGTATGTGGGAGCGGAGACGCTCAAATTCTTTTTTACTTTTAATGTGTTTTTATTTTTTTATTTTATTGCTATCACATAGGGGACCAATAGTCCCCTATGTGATAGCATATAAGTGACAGGTCCTCTTTGTAGGTTGGGGGGGGGGGGGGCAGTGTATGCAAGGAGGGGGTAGGAGAGGAGCAGTGTATACAGTGAAGGAGTAGCGTATACAAACAGGCTCCCTCACTTTCTGCTGCTAAATGTCATTGCCGACTTTCAAATGCAATTACCAGATTTTTTTTTTTCCCCGCACTATAGCCCTGAGAAGGAGCTGTCATTCGCCCCGCCGCTAAAGTAAACAAAGGGGCAGGGTCACTGGGTAATGTCACTGGGTGACCCCACCCCTTTGTTTACTTTAGCGATTGGGGCGAATGACAACTCCTCAGAGCTAGTGAAAGAAAGAAAAAAAAGCCAGTAATTGCATTTAAAAACCAGCAATGACATATATACACTGTATACACTGCTTACCTCCTCTCCTGCCTTTCTCTGCCGCCCCCCACCATCTGCAGTACACACAGCCCCCCCCCCCCCCCCCCCGTCATTGGGGCTGGGTCTCATATTCGGCACCTGTATCGGCTCACTTTTTCCTTTTGGCAAAATGCCGATAGGGCTATTTTCAGGTGCTGACATTTCAGTGCATCCCTAGTAAGAACAGATGATGTCATAGAATCCAGGCAGACTTGTGAAGGTAAATTTGATTTTTACATGGGGTTTAACAGCTGCTACTTAGGCATTGCTAGAGATCAGTGATAGGAGAGAATTTGCAATAAAGATCTTACAACAGCCTCTACATGTAGGGTAGGAAAAATAATGAGGCATGGGTCACTTTAAGTGCTCCTACCAGCTTGGAAGATGCATATTCAAACAAGGATGTGTCATTTTAGGAACATTTACTTCAAAACCTTATTTTTAAAAGAAATTCTTAATTAAATGCAATCTGTTTTAACAATCTTGATATAATATTTATACATAAAATATATCTTTCTCTTTGTACACAATTACAGAATGTACTTCTCTATTGCAAAAATATAAACAATTTTAACATTTAACAGAATTTTTGAAGTCCCCTTTATGGAAGCCACCATTACTATAACAGTGCTCCAGTACAACCTCCCATTTGCATTTTTGTTTTAGGCTTTGCCTTGTTTTTTAGGGAATGCCAGAGATACCTGGGCAGCTTTGTGAACCGGGTTCCACATTTGCATTGGAACTGCGATACCAATGGGTGAACCAAGCTATGGGCTTGGAGCTTGCGATAACCGCTCAGCGTCTTGCTACACACGGCACAGGTAAAGGCAGTGTCACTCAGATGTTGCAGCTGGTGAAGCAGGAAGTGTAGAGAACCAATTGGAGTTCGCCCGCAATCACACTGGTGCTTCTTTAAAGTGCATGTCTTTCCAAACCCTTTAAGTCGATGCTGTTTTAATCGCCAGATCTGATGGAAGCGGATTCCACAATCGCGACATCTGTAGGGAGGTCTAGGTCTACTTAAACACTGAACTGCTATTCTGGATGGCAACATTTTGGGAAAATATATTTTCTTTTCTGGTTCCAACTGCTTTCCAGGATTTTGTGCCTTTTCTGGTTTCAACCGCAATCCAGGAATCTGGTTCTCAGCAGGTTCTGAATGCATTCTAGCAATCTGGCTCTCTGCTGGTTCCGAATGCATTCCAGAGACCTGTTTCTCTTCGGTTTCTTTTTCACAGACTTCAGCCACATCCGTAACTACTTCTTCAGCATTCTCATAATTTTCTGTTTTTCTAAACACGAGGCCAGCCTTGCTTAGCAGAATCTCATGTACTTCTTCTGTCCCTACTACAAGCTCAAGAACGGATTCCAGAACCTCAGGTATTGTTTGTGGTTTAGTTTCCATCTGTATAGGTAGCGAAGGGCGACTAGGTTCTTCACTCTTGACAACTTGCTCACATGAAGGAAGGTTGTGTTGTTCATCTAAGCTTAGTTGCCTAACCAGCCTGCAGTAACCTTGAACATTACCATCGTCAATGCAAACATCAGCCACTCCCTTGTTGGTGTCTACATCAAAACTCATGTCATGATTCAGCGTGTTCTTGGTGTCACCTTCCTTCAAGTGTTCTTCATCCACAAGGGCTCTTCTGGCTTTAGCATTAAATTTGTTTTGCAACTCCTTCTCCTTCACATGCCAACGACTGTGATTCGTGTAAGCACATAGCTTGTTGAAGACTCTTCCACAATACTTGCAGGTGAAAACTTCCACAGAACTAGTACATGCCCTGTCACTTTTTTGCTTTTTGGTAGTGAACGATGAAACCTGTTTTGTTTCTTGTTTGCTCCCTTGAGTGACAAGCCCTTTCTTTTTCAAATGCCAGATGGTGTGAGTGGTATTGGCACTCTGACTATTAAATACTTTACCACAATATTCAAAGGTGAACGTTTGAGTTGGCTTGGCACAGTTGACTATTTTAGGGTCAAGAGGGGGTGTATTAACAAGGTGGGTAGTCCCATTAGATTCCTGGCCTCCTGGTGATGGTTCTGCATTTACCATAGATGATAGTTTTTTTCTTTGATGATAGTGCATGTGGTTGGTAAATGAACAACGTGAATTGTAGATTTTACCACACTCCTGACATTTGTAAATGTTTATAGCTTCATGAGTGGTATTGGTGGTAGCATCTGGGTTCTCATTGCTGGTTTGAAAAGACAACTGTTGATTCAAATTAGTCCATTCACTATTTATTTGATCCAGCTGGGGATGGATACCCTCCACTTGTTTTGCCAAGTAGCTCTCCCTTGAATCAGTCATGTCAACAACAACAATATTTTTAAGGGTAGTCACATTTTGGGAACCAAAACTATTATCATCGCAAGAAATAAGAAACTCTTGACTGCTTAGGTGGCTTGATTCACATTCTCGATGGTCAGAGGGAACAGTGCATTTGTTTGCTGGAATGGCTGTTCCTGATTCTGAGAGTGGCTCCTGATTCCACGTTTGAACTTCTGAAGAACCAGGCTGACTGCTTACAGCCTCTTTCTTGTATTGTCCTTGTAAGCTCTGGAGCTCTTTCTGGGCTTCAGCACACATCTTTTCCAACCTATTCATGGTCTCTACATTATTGCTATTTTGCTGGGGACACCTTACAGCCCTCTCAATGCACACGTGGTTATCTAGATTGTACAAACGCAAAAACTGACGCCCACATCGCTGACATTTGTAATTTCTCCCCAAGGGGTTGATTGTCTTGTTGCACTGAGTTCTGCCATTAGAAAAGTTGTACCTTCCCAAGCTCTCCCTTGAATCATCTTCATAGAACACAAGTGGTTTCTGTGTATACCTCTGTGGAGTTAGGCTGTAGTTGACCAGAGTCTGACATGACCTCAGTGCAAGAGATGCCTGGTTCTTCAAAATGAGGTGCTAACTGGACAGCCTGTTCTTGTAGGTTTTTGCTGTAGCCATTGTTCAAAACAAAATAATGGTCATCTCTCTGTCCTCCGTTTATACAGAAAACATTTGGTTGTATATTTACTGTGGTGGATAGTACATTTATATTCTTCTCCATTTGTTCATTTTCCACAACCTGGCTTCTGATTTCAGTAACGTGACTAGGTATTTCCAGGGCCTTGACCTCTGATGGTGTGGAATTCACATATTGCTGGTCTAGACTCTCGTCACTGCTTGAGTCGTCAAAGTAATGGAGGTGCTGCCACAGAGGTAAGTCCCGTTTGTTCTCCTGGAGAAAAAGGAAGAGCTGTCAGTTCCAAAATAAAGAGCACAGTATGATTGTAAAGCATGCAAACCAGTGCACCTTGTTGGAAAGGTATTTTCATTATACACCGCTCACAAAAATTAAAGGAACACTTTGAAAACACATCAGATCTCAATGGGGAAAAATATCATGCTGGATATCTATACTGATATGGACTGGGTAATGTGTTAGGAACGTAAGGATGGATTTGATGGAAATGACAATTATCAACCTACAGAGGACTGAATTCAAAGACACCCCAAAAATCAAAGTGAAAAAAAAACGATGCAGCAGGCTAGTCCATTTTGCTGAAATTTAATTGCAACTCAAAATTGTACTCAGTAGTTTGTATGGCCCCCACGTGTTTGTGTGCATGCTTGACAATGTCAGGAATGCTCCTAATAAGACAACGGATGGTGTCCTGGCGTATTTCCTCCTAGATCTGGACCAGGGCATCACTGAGCTCCTGGACAGTCTGAGGTGCAACCTGGTGGCATGAGATGGACCAAAACATGACATCCCAGAGGTGTTCTATTGGATTTAGGTCAGGCGAGCGTGGGGGCCATTCAATAGTATCAATTTCTTCATCCTCCAGGAACTGCCTGCATACTCTCGCCACGTGGCCGGGCATTGTCATGCACCAGGAGGAACCCAGGACCCACTGCACCAGCGTAGGGTCTGACAATGGGTCCAAGGATTTCATCCCGATACCTAATGGCAGTCAGGATGCCATTGTCTAGCCTGTAGGGGTCTGTGCCTCCCTCCATGGATATGTCTCCCCAGACCATCACTGACCCACCACCAAAACGGTCATGCTGTTGTTACAGGCAGCATAACATTCTCCACGGCTTCTAAAGACCCTTTCACATCTGTCACATGTGCTCAGGGTGAACCTGCTCTCATATGTGAAAAGCACAGAGTGCCAGTGGCGGACCTGCCAATTCTGGTGTTCAATGGCAAATGCCAATCAAGCTCTATGATGCCTGACACTGAGCACAGGGCCTACTAGAGGATGTCGGGCCCACAGGACACCCTCATGAAGTCCGTTTCTGATTTTTTGGTCAGAGACATTCACACCAGTGGCCTGCTGGAGATCATTTTGTAGGGCTCTAGCAGTGCTCATCCTGTTCCTCCTTGCACAAAGGAGCAGATACCGGTCCTGCTGGCCTTCTCCAGCTTTGTCCAGCTCTCCTAGAGTAACTGCCTGTCTCCGGGAACTTCCTCCATGCTTTTGAGACTGTGCTGGGAGACACGGCAAACGTTCTGCCAATGGTACGTATTGATGTGCCATCCTGGAGGAGTTGGACTGCCTGTGCAACCTCTGTAGGGTCCAGGTATCGCCTTATGCTACCAGTAGTGACACTGACCCTAGCCAAACACAAAAACTAGTGAAAAACAGTCAGAAAAGAGGAGTAGGGAAAAAAATGTCAGTTGCCTCCATCTATAAAACCATTCCTGTTTTGGGGGTCATCTCATTGTTGCCCATCAAGTGCACCTGTTGTTAATTTCATTAACCCCCAAGCAGTTGAAAATGATTAACCACCCCCTCTGCTACTTAACTGACAAGATCAATAACCCAGGAGTTTCATTGACTTGACGCTATACTCCGATTTAAAAAAAGTGTTCTTTTAATTTTTTTGAGCTGTGTACATAGGCTTTCCATACACTATGTGGCCAAACGACTGTTTGCAGTGAAGGGTACTATTAATGTTACAATTTACAAAGACATTTTAGACCCTTGCACTCTTCCAAATTTGTGGAAACAGTTTGGTGAAGACCCTTTTCTGTTCCAGTATGACTGTGCTTCTATGCACAAAGCCAGCTCCATAAAGACATGGTTTGATGAGTTTGGTTTGGAGGAACTCGAATGCCTACAAAGAATCCTGACCTCAGCACTACTGAACACCATTGGGATAAACTAGAATGCTGACTGTAAGACAAATCTACACCAAATCCTGAGCTCACAAATGCTCTTTTGACTGAAAAGACACATTTCCACTCCTAATTTTGTGGAAAGCTCTCTCAAAAGAGTGGAGGCTTTGTTTCTATAGCAATGCTCATGGCAGGTCCAACAACAACTCATATAAGATTGATACTTCGGTATTTACAAACGTTTGGCCAGTGTACTTTCATTTCATGGCAATACTATGATATCTGTAAAAGCAATGCTCCTGCATTGTCAACCTCTCATGCCAGCACTTCAACAAAGGCTACAAGTGGCCACTTTAACAGATATTACTCATCCATGGTCCACTGTTGCCACATCAGGAAACCCACCCAGAAAAATGCCATGCAATCATCCATGGATTGCATGTGGCTGCAAGGAAACTGCAGAAGATCAGATGCACCAAAGCAGGGGTGCTCAACCTGTGGCCCTCAGACCCCTGTCACCTCAAACCAAGGAAGCGCATGCCCAGGGCTGGCCCACGATCTGATCTTGCCAACCCGCCACCCTAGAGCATCAGAGTGCATAAAGTTGGCACTGGCATCAGAGGAAGCAGGTGGCCGCAGAGGGAGCAGGAGCCACATAAGCCAATGTTTCCTCTGTAGCGCTGGCTGCTGTCCCTGGCTGGCAGAGTGATGTCAAGTACACTTTGGGACCTTTCTAGCTGCCTGAAGAGTGAAGTCAGCAGAAGCTGGAAGAGGAAAAGAAGGTCAGTGTATTCAACAACACATACACTTCGCTTTTGCAATGGGCATATTAGCACCTATAAACTATTAGGCTGCTTTCATGCGGATCCAGGGCTTTTGCTTTCCTGCGGGCTAGCTGCACTGAATGATAGACTTCTCTTGTATCCTGCATGTTTGTTGCGCTTCCTGAAAGATACAGTTGTGCTCAAAAGTTTGCATACCCTGCCAGAATTCATGAAATTTTGGCATTTATATCGAAAATATGACTGATCGTGCCAAAAAAAAAAACTGTCTTTTATTTAAGAATAGTGATCTTATAAAGCCATTTATCATCATCACATACAGTGAAAGAAATAAGTATTTGATCCACTGCTGATTTTGAATGTTTGCCCACTCACAAAGCAATGATCAGTCTAAAAACTGAATGGCAGGTGTATTGAAACACTGAGAGACAGAATAGCAACAAAAAAAAATAAAAAGAAACGCATGTCTAACAAATTATGTACTGATTTGCATGTTCAGGAGGGAAATAAGTATTTGATCCCCAATCATTCAGCAGTTTCTGGCTACCAGGTGTCTTTCATACAGGTAACAAGCTGAGATTAGAAGCAGTCTCTTAAAGGGTGTGCTGCTAATCTCATTTTGTTACCTGTATAAAAGACACCTGTCCACAGGAGCAATCAAACAATCAGATTCCAAACTCTTCACCATGGCAAAGACCAAAGAGCTGTCAGGGACAAGATTGTAGACCTACACGAGGCTAGACTGGGCTACAAAACTAACGCCAAGCAGCTTGGTGAGAAGGTGACAACAGTTGGTGCAATCATTCGCAAATGGAAGAAACACAAAACTACTGTCAGTCTCCCTAGGTCTAGTGCACCATGCAAGATCTCACCTCGTGGAGTGTCAATGATCATGAGAACAGTGAGGAATCATCCCAGAACTACACATGAGGATCTTGTCAATTATCTCCAGGCAGCTGGGACCATAGTCACTAAGAAAACAATTGGTAACACAATATGCCGACAAGGATTGAAATCCTGCAGTGCCTGCAAGGTTCCTCTGCTCAAGGAAGCACATGTCCAGGCCCGTCTGAAGTTTGCCACTGAACATCTGAATGATGCAGAGGAGGACTGGTTGAAAGTAGTGTGGTCAGATGAGAACAAAATCGAGCTCTTTGGCATCAACTCAACTCGCCGTGTTTGGAGGAGGAGGAAACGCTGCCTATGACCGCAAGAACACCATCGCAACTGTCAAACATGGTGGTGGAAACATTCTGCTTTGGGGGATGTTTTTCTGATAAGGGGACAGGACAACTGCACCGCATCAAAGTGACGATGGACGGGGCAATGTACTGTCAAATCTTGGGTGAGAACCTTCTTCCCTCAGCCAGGGCATTGAAAATGGGTCATGGATGGGTGTTCCAGCATGACAATGACCCAAAACAGCCAAGGCAACAAAGGAGTGGCTCAAGAAGAAGCGCATTAAGGTCCTGAAGTGGCCTAGCCGGTCTCCAGACCTTAATCCGATTGAAAATCTGTGGAGGGAGCTGAAAGTTCGAGTTGCCAAATGTCAGCCACCAAACCTTAAAGACTTGGAAAGGATCTGCCAAGAAAAATGGGCCAAATCCCTCCTGAGATATGTTCAAACCTGGTGGACAGCTACAGGAAACGTCTGACATCTGTGACTGCTAACAAGGGATTTGCCACCAACTACTAAGTCATGTTTTGTGAAGGGGATCAAATACTTATTTCCCTCATGAACATGCAAATCAGTGCATCATTTGTTAGACGTGCATTTCTTTTGAATTTGTTGTTGCTATTCTGTCTCTCGGTGTTACAATACACCTACCATTCGATTTTTAGACTGATCATTTCTTTGAGTGGGCAAACATTCAAAATGAGCAGGAGATCAAATACCTATTTCCTTCACTGTAGTTGTTTGGCTCCTTTTTAAACCATAAAAATAACAGAAATCGTCCAAATAGCCCTGATCAAAAGGATTACATACTCTAGAATCTTTGGCCTTGGTACAGACACACAAAGTGACACACAGGTTAAAATGACAATTAAAAGGTTGATTTCCTGCATCTGTGGCTTTTTAAATTGCAATTTAGTGTTTGTGTATAAATAGTCAATGCGTTTGTTAGCTCTCATGTGGATGCACTGAGCAGGCTAGATACTGAGCTATGTAAGTTAACCACAGTGCATCAGTGTGAAAGCAGCCTTATAGGGGGCTCGGAACAGTAATGGATTGTTTACATTTGTGGTTTGGGGGACAGTAAAACCCCACAGTTAAAGACTTTTACCCCACCCCCTCAGCCACTGGTGTAGCATCGCAATGGAAACACCACTCTAGGAGTGGTGGCAGGGGCAGCACATACAGGAACTGGTCCTCTCCATTTTGGAACCACTGAAATCTGTCTTCTTCTCCTTTCCCTCCTACTGGCATTCAATGGCTGCTGGAGGAAAAGTTCATTATGCTATTCAAATACTCAAAACTCTGAACCATTTCATTTCATTGAGGCCCATGACCGGTTACCAGATCACTTAAGTTGCCCTTGCTGTTGAGCACTCCTGCACTAAAGGATGAAAAAAGGGTGAAATCAAGTGTTTATTTAAAAAATGTCAGTTACAATTTGCATTTACTTTAAAGGTAATAATGATACACTTTGAAAGCATAAGTGGCTATACCTACCAGTTTTATTGGAGTGTGATCATCTACAGCCAAATTGCCATCATTGAGTTCCACCTCAGCACCAACCTCCATACTATGAAAGACATCCATACTAAGAAGTCACTGGGTCACAGTAACCTGTCAGGAGACACAAGCCAAAACGGATATTGGTTTGATGAAAGATGCTTCCAATTTTAATTACATACCATCTTAACTTTTCTGGCCTCCAAAGACTCAACTACATCTTTGATACTGCTGTGTGATAGTATTTATTGTATATCCAAAAGAACCAAATTCTTTTGTAGTTGTTACAGATTTAAATAAAAAATGATTGAGCAAGCCGTAAAGGGAGTATGGCTTCATGAAATGACTTGGACTTTTGATGGAAGCCAGTGGGTTATGCCTGAACCTCTTCAGGATGTCAGTAGATATGGTGGCTTAAAGAGACATGCTCTTATCCTGTAAGTCAATCACAATCCTCTGATAAAGTCTCAGCGATATAGAACAGGGGTCCCCAAACTATGGCCCACAAACCACATCCAGCCTGCATCAGTTGTGTGCAATAGAGGATCCAGATCAGCTGATCTCCACTGATGGGGACCCAGATGTAAGGGAGGACTCTAGATCTTGATGTAAGGAGGATTCTGATAGGGGCACTGATGTAAGGGAGACTCTGATGGGGACCTAGATGTAAGGAGGATTCTGATGGGGTCACTAATATATGAGGAGACTCTGACTGAGACCCTGCTGTGATGGAGGACTCTGATGAAGACACTGAAGCAATAGGTGACTCTGATTGGGGACTAATGTAGGGGGGAATCTGATGTAGACTTGATGTAATGTAGACCTCTAAAAGGTGGACACTGATGTAAGAGGGGTTTTGATGGGGGCCCAGGTGAAAGGAGAGGCTCAAATAATGAAAATGTATGGGTCTGGTAATACAAAACCAATAACAGCTACCAACATCCCTAGATATTGCATCAAAAAGTCTAGGAGGTATAGAAAATTCCCCATAGGACTTTAACGGCAGAGAAAAAAAAAAAAATCTACAACAAAACTATTAAGAGACCAATTGTCAATTTTTATTGAAATTGCTTTGGGGCCAAACAGCCAATAAAAGCTGATAGATATTCAGCAGCAAGAACACGTGTAGTACACAAAACTTAATTTACAACACAAGGGTATATGTTGTAAATTAAGATTTGTGTACTACACGTGCTATTGTTGCTGAATATCTATCAGCTTTTATTTCCTGTTTGGCCCCAAAACATTTTAAATAAAAATTGACAATTAGTCTTTTAATAGGTTTTGTTATTTTTTTTTTTCTGCCGTTAAAGTCCAATAGGGAATTTCCTATACCCCTAGGCTTTTTGATGGAGAGGCTCAAATAGAGCTCTTGATGTAAGGGGGTACTCTAATGGAAACACTAAAATAAGAGGGAACTCTGATGGGATCCTAATGTAAGGGTGAATCTGATGTAAGGGGAGACTTTTGCTTTCTCTTTTGTTCAGAATCATGTCATGCTGACTTCAAAAAGGCCCAAGTCAAACAAACATATTCATTTATTATTCTCTTATTTATAAAACTAATTATCTTCAGCCCAAAAAGTATTTGTAAAATATATGATGTGGCCCTTAAAAAATTCAGAGTCCCTGATATAGAAGAAGCACATACAGTAACTATAATGGCATGAAACTGCCAGAGAGTGATGACTTTTCGGAAGGAGTCATAGACTCAAATTACTACATGAATTCTTACCACTGCAGTCTCAGAAGTCAGCGAGTGAGAAAACTCCTGACGTGCAGAAGAACCACATTGCGTTTGGGGTGCCATTAAAAGGACAATGGCACCCACAACGTGTCGTGTTGTGCAGCAATTGCCACAGGATTTGGAATTGTGGGCAGAATTGTGGCGATTATGCCCGTGATTGCAAATGTGAATGGAGCCCGAAGTTAATCTAGTAACATGTCCAGTTGCATCTCTACGCACCTTTGTGAAGTTAGATTTGACCCAGGGAGGTCGCCTCCAAGGAGGCATTATATATCCCAGATCTTGGAGAATTTTAGGGCAACCCCTAGAGGTATATGTGAATTTATTGAGTTGAATAGCCGAGTTGACTAAGTGCTTCAAATAGTTTAGTGTGCGGGCCACAGGAGATTTCCATTTCAGTATTATGGCTTTCCTGGCATAACATAAAAGAAGTCCTAGAAGAACTCTAAGAGTCCTGGTAGGGGCCAAAAGATTGACAAGGCCCAACAAACGTGTCAATGCTCAGTGGGATTGGAGGGACTGTAGTTAACTTGAAAATGAAACGCGAAGGCTCTGTTCGAAATGTCTGTATCCATGGGCAATTCCAAAACATGTGGGCAAAGACAGCTGGGTCTGCCACACATCTCCAGCATCCCAATGAAACAGGGAGACAAATTCTATGCAATTGTTGGAGGGTAAGATATATCCTAAGGATATATAAGGATTTTAAATTGGATTAACCAATCTCTAGCAGAAACTAGCTGCAATATGGGATAATCCCATATATCCTCCCAGTCCATCCCCCTTCTAGCTATGGGACCTCCACGCGCCATATAGAATAAAAAACATCTAGATCCTAGCGAACGGAGGGTAGTAGGGCCGTCAGCCTATTAATTTAAGTGCGCTCTCTAACACACTAAACTATAACAAAAATGGTGCACGTACTTATTTTTTGAAAGGCAGCACACCACAACGTATCTTGGATGTGCAGACCAAGCTTAGCAAAGTCTATATGGGTCAGTATACTTTTATGACTGGTTTGTCTGACAGCAGGGTTGGAAAACTAGGAGCATGCACAGATGCTCAGTCCTAGTTCGCCACTGAAACAATAAGGCTGAATTCACATTTAGGCAGTCCCTTGCAATGAGTTACCATGCATTGTGTTAATACAGCACACCACTTATACAACATGCCTTTCCCACTACTACATGGTACATTGGGGTGCCAATCACAATACATAGCACTCCACAATGGTGTGTGTATTACTGCACTTTGCAGAAAAATGTGTATCCTACCACATGTTTTAAATAGGACCCTAATCTTCATTCTCGCAGCATAGGCCATTGTGCGTAAGGAATTAAAGAGTATGTAAACCCAATATTTCATATTCCTGGTATGTGCCTGCTGTACCATGTACAGTGCTCAGCATAGATGAGTACACCCCTTTTCAAAAGTAAGATTTTAATCAACATTTCAATGAACACAAGAACAATTTCCAAAATTTTGTAGAACATTTGTTTAGCTCATTACATGAAAGTAAGGTTAATAATAGAACTTAGATTACAAAAATCTTCAGTTTTACTCAAATTAGTTGATGCAAAAATGAATACACCCCACAACAAAAACTACTACATCTAGTATTTTGTATGACCTCCATGATTTGTAAGCACAGCACCAAGTCTTCTAGGCACTGAATGAACAAGTTGACAACATATTGCAACATTTTTTTCCATTCCTCAAGGAAGACCTCTTTTAGAGCCTGGATGCTGGATGGAGAGTAATGCTCAACTTGTCTCTTCAGAATTCCCCATAGGTGTTCGATTGGGTTCAGATCAGGAGACAAACTTGGCCACTGCAATGCAACAGTGGCCTTAGATTTATGTTTTGGATTGGATTTTGTCATGTTGGAAAAGTGCACGACGACCAAGGGCCCGGAGTGATGGTAGCATCTTCTCTTTCAATATAGAGCAATACATCTGTGAATTCATGATACCATCAATGAAATGACACCAGCAGCACTCATGCAGCCCCACAGAAGGACACTGCCACTACCATGTTTCACTGCATATTTTTTTTTTTTTGTACACCTCACCTTTGTTACGCCGTACAATTTTGAAGCCATCAGCTCCAAAAACATTTATCTTGGTCTCATCATTCCAGAGTACAGATTCCCAGTAGTCTTCTTTTTCAGCATGGGCCCTGGCAAATTCTAGGCGGGCTTTTTGTGCATGGGCTTTAGGAAAGTCTTCCTTCATGGACGACACCCATGTATGCTATTCCTCTGTAGTATACACCGCATTGTGTTACGGGAAACAATCACCCCAGTTTGGCTTTCTACTTCTTTAGCTAACTGCAGTGAACTTGCATGGCGATTTCCTTCAGCTCTTCTCATCAGAAGACGCTCCTGTCACGGTGTTAACTTCCGTGAACGGCCTGGACATCTCTGTGAGATAGTTGCAGTTCCACGTTTGATAAATTTTGAATCATTTTTGCTACAGTATTCACACTGATAAGTAAAGCTTTGCCAATCTTCTTGTAACCTTTACTCTTCTTGTGTAAAGATATTATTTTCTTTCTTAGGCCTTGGGACATTTCTCTTCCATGTGTTGCCGTTGCTGGCAGCATGAAATGGGAAGGGGTTTTCTTTGTTAAGTAACACCCTTTTATAATCACCTGTCTGCTGGACACCTGTTTCATGAATAATTAGACTCACTTGTAGTTGAATTCTTGTTTATTAAGGATTTTGTTGTCTAAAATTTAGCTTTGCTCCTAAGACTTTCATTGGGGTGTATTCATTTTTGCAACATGGTACTGAATAAATTTGTAAGGAAAAATAAATTTTTGTGTGTGCAAACTAACAAATCTTGTTTGCAATCAATGGCCCGCATTTGTGGGAGTATTCTGTAGTATAGTGCCCTGTAAAAAATGTTGATTCTGAAAGGAAAGTAAAAGATTTCTGACAAATCTGTTGGGGTGCACTCATTTATGCTGAGCACTGTACTGTACTGAATGGGTTGTTTTACTTAAAAGTGGGCAGGTAGACAGCATCCAAGTAGTGATGCAAAGAAGCACATGTCAGGGGTGTCCTAGGGACTACAAGTGGGAGTGACATCAAAGGATAAGAGTGTTGGAAAGGGACCATAAGGGGAAAGGGGGGGGGTGGAGGTCACAGCCAGGTTGTGCTATACCATGTGCTATACCAAAAAACACACACTACCCAAGTAATTGGTAAGGCTATAAACTAGTCAACAGTGTTTCCCATAACCACAACAGGCACTCAGGGGTCCATTTTTCATACATTTGCTGGATGAATGTTACATACATGTGTGCAGGCTGGATGAATTTTCCCCGTATTTTCCAGA